AGAATGGAATAACAAAGACTGCTGGTAAAAATGAACATTTTTTAGTTTTTTATATTAGTCTGTCATTTGTTTGTCACTATATTGCTTACCTGGTATTTATTCCTTGTCATAGTTGGTCAGGAATTTGATGAACAGAGGTTGCGACGTGAAAGACGAAAAGAAAACAAAAGGAAAATGGTGGTAAGTGAAAAGAGTGATTGCTGGTAGCAATATTTTGTACCAAAGATACAACATGTTAATTGTGATAATATAATAGAAGTATACATAATACCATCTAGGTATTTGATAGTGTTGTTGTATCACTTTAAACTCTCATTTTGTTATTACAGGGAGGAACAACTCCAAGAAAGACTAATGTTTCTCTTGGAAAAATACAGTATGTGTAATCTTTACAACATTTTACCGTTACTTATTGTAAAAAAATACTATTGATAATATTATTTGGTTATTTATTTGTTTGTTTATTCATATTTAATACCCTGTATTAAAAAGATATCTTTTTGTTTAAGGATGTCCTCGGAAAAAAGCAAAAAGTCTGACAAAAATAATACTGGTATGTTATTTCTTGTTTTCGAACAGTAACAACACTGTTATAAAGCATTAGTTTTCCGTGACTGTGGTATTGTATAAAAACCATGTATTTTTGTAGGGTCTGCTAATCAAGAGTTTTTAGATGAAATAAAGTCTTCCTCATGCTTTGATCTTCTGTCTTCAAGAGAGGTTCAGGTAAGTTTGCACCAAATTAGAAATATTATTAAAAATCACAAACAATATAATAATTGCAGATTAATGATTATACCTAATTAGTATATTGATTTTCAATCTTTATCATCATATGATATAAATATTAGAGWGGTATATTACAGGTATTTTATTTGTTACATTTGTTTATTCATTCATTCATTTATTCATCCACTTTATTTTATTTATTAATTTGTACAGCTATGTTCAACAATGCAAATGAAGCCTGGATTTTATCTTACCATTAAAATTATTATTCTTAAGGTTAGAATTTATTTTATTTCACAATTTTTGTGTTTGGTAGACTGTTTAACATTAATGTTGTTGCTGAGATGGATGGTTGGTTGATTTGTTGGAGGATTGGTTAGTTGAGGTGTTGCCTTATTAGGTTGAGTCAGATCATCAGCTGTTGAATAAGTTGACGGATGGATGCTTCAGGTTGAAGACTGTGTTATCGTAATATGTGATAATAGGGCATTGTCTTCATTTGACTTTATTTCAAATTTTCAGGACAATCTTCTAAGACGACAAGGTGTTCAAGTTAAGACACGCTATCCTCCAAATCTTGATAAAACACACAGACGTCTAATTGTTAGCTATCTCAAAGAAAGTGGATGGATACCAACCTCATGATAGCAATGATTTTTTTAAAAATACTAGGAATTTTTTTATTTAGGTTTATTTAGATTCCACTGGTTGATCCTAAGGATGTATATTTAAGGGATGGGTACACATAATAATGAATAYGATATATGTCACAGAATATATCTTAATATCAAAATTGAGAATGATGTATTTTAATGCTTTAAAAGCATTGAACACAAGAATTCATCAAGCTTGGTAACACAGGTTTAACATGCTGTAATTGTGACCTGTTGCTAWAGTTTGAATGAAAATTAGAGAATCACGCCTGGGTTCCAAAGATGATGCACCAAAATATGAAGTGCTGTTCACAAAATACTATGTAAATTATATTGCATAAAATCTATATGATAATATTATAATAAAATGTCTTTTAAGCTCATACTCTTTGTCCTATAATGTCCTATAATTAATGGCATTATCTGAAATGATGCAACATCATGATGATTCTAGGTTATATGAATGATGATAATGTGGTATTATGATGATCGGTGTAGATAACATCATGTTCTGGATGTGTGTGTGCTTTTTTGTTGTTGTTTTGATTGCTAGTTTTTCTTAAATGTAGTTATTGAGATTTTATAATTATGGGTATGTGCACCTGTAATGCAAATGCACGTTTTGGGCTACCTGTGTAGTAGAAGTTGCTGCTGACCAATACTGAGCCGACAGTCCACAGTCAGTAAAACAGCTGAAGTGTTCAGAAAAACTCCATTTCTTTGCTCGGTTCTTCTTTCTTTGTGATATAATTTAAGCATTTAATTATGAGTCACAGGAACAGTACGTCAGGACAAAGCGGTGGTCAAGGACCWGGCTTTGTCGGCATCAAGTTTTGTCARGAATGGTAGGTTGAGTGATCAACATGGCCAAGATGGCGGATCGCTGTTGTTAAGCTRMCATGCTTCCTTGTCGGCTTGGTTTCTTGTTGAGTCCATGTAATATGATTACGTATTGAAACATAGTTGTATAGCACGATTTATGATTTAAGTTTAGCGTTTTTTAAGTTCTTCAGAAAGTGTGAAAGCAAAGTTTGAGTGTATTAAAAACATGGTCAATACTAAATAAGCTTAATATAAGCTTATATCTAGTAAAATCAGTCTTTATACAATTTAGTTGATTTAAAAGCATTTCTAATATTGAATAACAATTTCAGTAACAACATGTTGTACCCTAAAGAAGACAAGGAAAATAAGATTTTATTATATGCAGTAAGTACATGATTTTTTCACAAAACTGACATTCATTTTTGACATGCCATATAGACTGGACGAAATCTCACTAATATTCTAATATATCTGTTAACAGTGCCGTAACTGTGACTACCAACAAGAATCAGACAACAGCTGTATTTATGTGAATAAGATTACCCATGAAGTCAAGTGAGTAGGATATAAATATTTTATTCTATTGGAGTACAAACATTAAATGTGTGCAACACTTTCCACTATTTACTACAAAATAGTGTTAATTAAACAATAGGAATTAGGAATTCTATGAAAACCACACTTATGTGATAGTTTTTTCCTAATAAAAGATTGTTATTATTTAACAGTAGAATTAACATGATTTAGCAGTATTTAGTGGTATTTATGTTGCACAGTTTTAGTGTTTGTACTCTACGATTTGTCGAAGCTTGGTTTTGACAGTCAGGTTTTGTCAAATATGAACAGACTRAATATTCAGGAATGGAATCCCTCAATAACAAATTCTGGAGACACAATGGCACACACACTATAATTGTTAATAAGGGTGGATTGTTCCCTTTGCCCTTTAAGAAAATGAAATGCCACAACCTGAAAGTCATGATTAACTTAACTATAAATGCTATAAACATATTTAATGACTGGCAGTCATTGGCAGAACAGTGTATCCAAGGTGACCYCTAATATAAGTTTTCTAAAACCTTATTGTGTGTTTATTTTTGTATGTTTGTTTCATAGTGAAATGACACAAATAGTTGCAGATGTAGTGGCAGATCCAACACTACCAAGAACAGATGATCATGAATGTCAAAGGTATTCATGTTYAATATTAAAGGCCCTGTTTATATGGATGTTTATTTAATCTACAAAGATGAGCAATGCTTATATTAACATTTGGTAATTTAACCTCGTAGTTATATGGATTTGTGCATTGGGATTTTTTTATTATGAGAGTAAATTATAGATTATTTCCCTTCATTGCTCTTTATGTTAYTGAGACTTTCATCCCAATAAACACAGCCATTGTTTACCTCAAATAAAAATGGTCAGAATTTGGTTACGTTTGAATCAAGATAGGTGCAGATGTGACATCCACAAAAAGCTGGGGTTTTTTTTAAATTGTTTCAGTTACTGATCATACTCTTTTATTTTACAGATGTGGCAATAGAGAGTCAGTATTTTTTCAATCTCAATCAAGAAAGGCAGATGTGAGTATTTTAATAGGACATTTAAATGATGACATTATTTTACAACATCAACCAGCTACATCAATATCATAATTTTCTGCACTTTTGACCAAGTTTTTCCGTCTTTCTCAGCAAATGACATTGTACTATGTATGTACATCACCTGACTGTGGCTTCAAGTGGACAGACTAAGCCAATCATAGTGTCAATCATCTCCATGACAACATCAATCACACATAAAAAGCTGAGCCATCAACAAAGTGTTTGATATGGTCTTCATATGGGATCCCTGTGTAGTTACTGTAGAAAGGGTGTCCAGCAGTGCCATTAGTAAAATTTCTTGTCTCGGAAAATATAATAGTCACACTGCAATTTAATAAATCTTTTTATTATAAAAACATGGATAGTTTGTTACCAAAATGCACTGCTTCTAGTATATCCTTGAGAGACAATAGTTTTATCAAATTTGATTTTTTCATGCTATATAAGTTTCTTTGTATCCATTTCACTCAAAAATGATAACTGTTATCATCAAGTCCATGCATCTACCTGACTATTTATCATTATTTACCTTGTAAAAAAAAACATTCATATTTTTCAATAAAATAATATATATAATCCTTTTTAGAAAACCTCTTTTRGATAAATGTTTTGTCATATCTATTTCTCTTTTGTTTCCTATTTTATTGGTGGAAGTTCCTCTACTTTYGTGGCAGCTTCTTTCTTTTTCCTTTGCTTTTCTTCTTTTTTCTTTCCTTTTTCCGTTTTCTAAATAGAATATTATACAAATGTTATACCACTCTTGTTGAATGTACATAAATCCACGATTTCTTTCCGAATATAACAACAATGTCRACCAATAATTTGACAATTTTTATTTTATCTACCTTTTTCCTTGTCCATGGCTCGGGAAAGTGAGATCGTTGATTTGTAGTGATTTGTACTAATCGTTCTAAAAGCTTACGATTTTCTTGGTCGATGATCGCTTGCCGTCTTTCTTCAGCCTGGAAGGAAAACCAAAGCAAATAAGCACGAAATAAAAAAATAAAATTTAAAAAAAAGGAAAACCAAGAAAGAAAGAAAATAACGTGCCATGCTGGGATTCGAACCCCTCGCCAAAGAAATATGACAAACTTAGGACGATTCCCCGAGACATTATGTAAAGCTGAGGCGTCGATTCGATTTACATTCCGGTTAGAGAGTCTTCCATACTATCTCGATAATTGGTCCTAACTTCGCGCTAACTAAAAAGCCAGTGAGGAAGAGGATATCCGGCCCCTCACGATAGATGATTAACACCTTGCGCAACTAGTTAGCCATCTAAGATATAAAATGCCAAATTGGGGTAGTTTTCGACCATTAGGATGAAGATCCCAAACAATGCAACAATCTTTTTTTTTCTTATCATAACTAATTTTCGCATGCCATCGTTTCTTTTTATCGTGTAATCTATTATGATAATTTCGGACTGGTCAGGTAATTTGTAAGGAGAAGGAGAGTAAAAAACAGATTGCGATAGGGAGCTTTGAAAAATTTCTTTTCAGAAAACTAAATGTCACTGAAATCACTCACGCTATATTTCTGTCAAATAAATGGATGGTTTTGACAGAAGAAAATAAAAGATTGTTCATCGAAACAATGAGAGTTCTTAGAATCGAGTGGCAAGAGTGCGGACAAACACGTACTTGGCCGGAATTGCGTTAAGTGATCAATTGTTTTTTGTGTGTATATTTTCATTTCTTTCTTAAGAATATTTATATTACTCTTATTTACATTTTCATCAATSTAAAAAGATCTCGTTATCTTGCTGGTTACATAAAAAGAAAAAAACGTGTTTTAATATTCAATGGCTTACAATGGCTCGTCGTATTCTCATTTGTAGCTGTACTTCTTCGTAGTTGTATCTCAGTCTGTTTTGGTCTCGAACTGTTCCTTTTATTTCTTCCAACTAAAAACAAAGATAATCARTTCATATATATGACTTTGCGCGCAAAATACTGACTTAATTGTGAGATTTCTGGAAACTTATTTAGGGAACAAACTGTAAATATGCGGTAAAAAATAAGGTTTCAAAGTTCCGACATCGTTTTTTTTTTCTTTAAATGCAGCTTACATTCATAAAACCACTTTTGCTTCCGTTGTTCCTCGCGGACTCATATTCAATTTCCGCTATCAACACCCAAGGTAGTAACGAAGATTTGCCATATATTTGCGAAACAAGCTTTATCCTAATGATTATGGCACAAAACACCCGTAATCAAGCGTAATTATTACCAAACCAATTACTTTCTTCATATTTTCATTTAATTGTTGTCTGTTAAGTACCCCGTGGTTTTATTGGTTGATTTTTCAATTGAAAATTACTATTTTCGTCCACGAAAGTCTTAGGTGACAAAAGATGGCTCGTGAAAGTGAAAACTAACCATCGTTTGTGCCGGCGGCAATTAAGAGAATATATATAGTATTAGACTCAATTGAGCTGATMCTAGTAATAAAGTGTACATAGGTTTGTTTACATACTAGCGAAGACAATGGTTAATTCTGTATAATCTTAAGAAAACCGTTCATACAAAAGAACCGAAGTCTCTTTCTGTTCTAGATAAGCCTAAATCGTATGAAGTATGAAAGTTTAAAACATATGAGAAAAAATAAGTAAAATGACGGCGCTTTTCATGAGTGAGAGGTCTATATTTTGCATAAGAGCTAAAATGAAATTGTAATGCTTTATATTTCACAATAAAACGTYGTTTTTAAKCTAATTGTACTTACTCTTTTTTTGTGTTTTTCATAMGTGATTTTATGCCACTTTTTGTCCAAAATATCACTTGACGTAGCAATAGACGCGTTCATTTTCCTCTTGCTGTAGCTATAGTTCATGTGTGCACAAACAGTGGTAGTATACACAACTGTGGTTTAACGGTCACGTTTTAGCCGCTTGCTTTGTTTAGAAAGGGACACTGGGAAGTCATTCTGGCCGGGCGTATTCAGAGCTCTTGAAAACAACCAACAAATTCACCTTAAGCATGCGTTTAAGATGCTGGATTTTTGATGTCAAATTCCAAGCTCATTGCTATGACAACTGGCGGAAAACGTTCCGAGTTCAACGATTGAAAGTCAGTGTTGATTTGACGTGCTTAGAGTGGCGCATCTTATTTGCACGCTTCGACAGGGTATGTCACAATGGGTAAAGCGCATTGGTTGGATTTTCAGTCAATAAGGCCAATGACAATCAAGCGTTAAATCTGTGTAAATAAATTAGACTTGTGACTTGATATAAAATGAGAGCTATGTTCATTATTTAGACGTAATTCTTAGACTAGTATAATATGCACCGATCTCTATAATATCGAAACAGTGAAAGAATATTGTCATTGAAAACAATACGAAGAAAAGAGCTCTGAATAGAGGACATGAAAAGTCACCTCTCGACTCGGCTCCACGAAGAGCTTATCTATTTTAATTAGTTTGCCCATTCATGAAAAAATATAGGAATTTCAAAAAATTGGTATTTTGTAAAGCCGGATTTTAATGTGTTTAACTCGTTTCCTAATTAAATTGTATGTTTATTTTTATTTTATTTTATTTTATTTTATTTTTTGAAAATTAAATAAGAGTAATGTGTGTTAAGTCTTTCAGATAAAATAAGTAAAACAACAACAACAACAAAACATTGCTTCTCTGTTCTGTATGGTTTGAACTTGTGTAATGTGCCTGTAACTTTGCAATGAACTCAAAAGAATATTGACAATTGTTCTAGATATTATACAAAGATTCAATTTATATCTCAAATTTTTGTACATTTAAACTATAATTGACACTATGAAAACACCAATGATAATCGATTTTTTAAACAAAGATAATCAATGTTTTATGAAAACACTGAACATTGCGTACAACAGTTTACAACGAAGGCATCCATGATGTCAAACAACATCAGCAGATAATAATTAAAGTCGCAATTTATTCTTTGTCCAACAATGACAGATTAAACAGCAAAGTCTATGTCCTTTGTTGATATAAGCTGTTAYGTTAATGCTTTAATGCTAACCAACTTGAAGTGATGCTTCGAAATGGACGGGCCATTTCCATGGTAATAAAGGATGCAAATCTTGCTCAATCAAGGCTCGTGCAGGCAATCCGCTTAACATTTTAGTTGTGGCGGTCCAGTAATAGCGGCTTATAGAATGTTTTGATTACTACCTCTGTCTTGAGTGGAAATGAAGAGCAAAGAAGATTATTATTTGACAGTGAAAAAGATGCACTCGAACTCAAGGTGAGCTGCCATTTTGTCTCGGACCACCAAGCGGCTTTGCGTAACGTCTGGCGCAAAAACTGAGGATTTTTTACTTCCAGATTCTAAAAATCTCTATGAAGTATTAACTAAAGGAAGTGCAAAAAAATTGATCTCTCTTCCTTAAAAATCATTATTGGAATTGATGAAAAATATCTGGCGCAGACGAAAAACTGAGCTAGGCTTCCTATTCTGACGGGGCTGACCGATGCGCTATGAAACTCTTTTTTTCTTGACCTAAAACTAAAACAACATTGAAAGCTATATGCCTTGAGGCAATTACGACTATCATAGCGATTTGACGCAAATACAAACCGGAATATTTTCCAATAACTATTTGCATTTTAGAAATCAAATTCATAAACATTTTTGTTCGCTGGCATCCCAGCGAAACCTTACCAAACGAGTACCAAATACAAGACAGAGAAGCTACAGCGAATCTTTAGTAAAAAAAACAAATTGAAAATTATCTTCATATGTTTGCCTTTTGTTTCAATTGTAAACAAAGACGACATTATTCATATTACACAAGTACAACAATATGGATTAGATATTCCTTAAAAGCTAGCAACTGTGTGGGCATTTACATGCTACCCAGAAACTATGTAATATCGGTAATTACTAGACCTGAATCATATCACATTTGGAAGTCGGCTGTTATCCCTTAGAACAATACAAGAGATTTATTACAACCCACTRGCTCTATAAAAGGTCAAGCTTTTTAATCTTCGTCCTATTTTGTGTGTTTTTCGAGCTTTTGACGTAAACTATGGATTGAAAAAAGGTTTTGTGCGGAACATCATGTCTGACAGACTCCATTCAGTTTACGCGATGATCAATCCAATAGTRCTAAAAGTCAGGTAGTCAAAAAGTGATTGTTTTTCAAACAATCATGATAAGTGCCCATTGACACCTTTTTTACGAGACAATGAAAAACAATGCGCTTAAATGGTCATAGATTAAGAATTGYAAATCCTATCGCACTTTCACGAAATTTGTTGSSTGAGCAGTTAAGTTTGAGTAACATTAAAAATCCGTTTTTTATATCAGCCCACTTGCTAAGAAATCACCCATGCAAGCACTGACTTTTGATTTCCAGGTAGTCGATGACTAGTTTATACTACTACCGYTATGGTGGCTTTCCGCCTGCCAGCAAGTATCTGGACAAGCTTTGGCAGAATCGATCACAAGCCAAACACAGGAAAAGGGTAAACGATGTAGTCAACTGCAAAGATGTTGTTATGCAAAAATAAATGTTAAAATGGGGATAAACAACAAGCTAACATACAGAAGACTGGGGTCGTTTTGTGCGAAGGATCGGTGTATAGTGCTATCAAAATAAATAGGTACCAGAATGCCAAGAAGAAGAAGTTCCTCTTGGGCGACCTTTCGGCTGTCGGTCACTAGATTTTACATAGCACGTTCGCTGTTTTATATATTCTTTTATTAGATATTATGTATTAGTATAATTTTAAGGKCATTCTATGCCACCTTTATGGCGCTTTTATTTTGTTGCGGCGTGCTCTCCTGTTAAATTTCTGGCGTGATAAAACAAAATGGTCGCCATCTTTAACTTTTATAAATACATACATATGACGGGTGTTTATCAGTTCATTTTATTGAAAAAAGCAAGCGGGATATTTTTCTAGACAAGCAATTTTAAGTCTAAAAAGACTTCTTGCTTTGTCAACTAGATTATAATTACTAATATCACTTTCACAGAGAACAAAAAAAAAATGGAAATTTTTTTATAGACATAGCCCAGGAGAAAAATCTGGCACCCTCTGCTTTCTCATGCAATBGTGATAAATGGCAAACATCTGCCTGATTCACTAAATGAAAAGTTCTCTTGTCATCAGACATCCGGTCATTTCAATTTATTTTAAACCTTTGTTTAAATTTTCAATCCTCGACTTATTTAATTTAATACATATGCAAATTTACACGTGTGAATGAGCACTGTTGCTACAACAAACACATATCACAAGTCGTGAATTTGACAGAGCTGTTCCCGAGGTGTCTTATTTGGTGTTAATCCATTTTTTGTGTACACTAATCGGTGTAAAATACACCTCAAAAATTGCGATAGCTTTTTGTTCGCTTAATCTGGTTTTGTTTCGATCTAATTCCACAACAACGACAAATCGCTCGACCGAGAAATTGGAAAAACAGTTCTACTTTCGCACAGTTGAGAACTCTCGAAGACGTCTATATCATATACACTCTTTCTGGAGCCTTCTTCTTCGTTTTCTTCAGCAAAAAAGCCATTATTTTCAAGTTAAAATCCAGGGAAATATGTCTTAAATTCAAGACGTTAATAGCTGCCTCTATTTCACATAATTATCAAAGAGAAATGGTTTATAATTTTCTTGAGTGAAATTCGCATAAACAAGAGCCAAGGGACTACGAGTAAAAGAGGACGGGCTAGCTCGACGTAAATTGCTGTGCAAACAGTCAGTTGACATAACTACCTAGCTTATTTGGACTGTCAAAGGRGAACCATTTATATAAATTTAGAAAAAGAGTAGTGGCTCATAACATGGCGTCTAGAGGAAACAGCTTAATTGATCGACGATTGAAAAGGAAACACGAAGAGGAGTATCAAAAAAGGGTAYGTTTATCGTGTCTTATATTYATCAAGTGAGGGTTTTGTAGCATTTGAGCTCAAAAAAATATCTACGTATTTGAATTTTATTCTTCAATTTATCAATTTAAGCGTCAGAAAAGGTGCTTAGATTTTACCAGCAATTTTTAAAATTGCAATGAATATAAACATTGAAAATCACTCTCGAATTTATATTYRTTTTGTCTGGTACTATGAATGCACGTAAAACCGCTTTTGTGTTACGAGAATTCTGGCCAATGGCAAACATAACGCTTTTTCATCGAGGATGATTTCATTTACTAGGCAAAAAACTTTGCTCATTGAAGATATCATATTTTTTAGTTTAGAGAAACAAATAATTCAGTTGATTGTATTTTTGTTTGGTCAGTCATATTATAGCTAGATAATTATTTGAATATTTTGACGTCGATGAATTATTAAAACTATCTCCAGAAAAATTGGCTTGTTCACAAATATGATGAGCGATATGTSCACTGTCTGCCTTAATAACTGTGACAAATGWGTCATCACATTTTCAYCCTCATGACKTTTTAGAKGAACTATTACAATTTGCTAATTTAGGCAACAGATTATTTCCAAATTTGACCGAATTGATAACGGTTGATTTGCACTTTTTATTAAAATTTCGACATTTGCATCTTGCAGCATATACAGAATATGCTCACAACAGCAGATATCGTTTTCATGATTTTCCTAAGAATCTTTTCAATATTCCAGATGTATTTTGCTGCATCACTATAATGTTTCAAAGGACCATTTTCGCCATTTTGTTAAATCACTGCCTTCGACTTATCAGTATATTTTACATACATATTACACTATGCTATACATACACACTCTGAGCTTTTAGATAGTGAGCGCTAAAATTAGTCATTGTAATATAAGAATGCAAAGAACGCACATTTCCGTCACTTTGTACTGAATTTCACAAATTGAAAGAACTAAAAAACGTTCTTCCTGTGCTTTTGTTGGTTCAMAAATCAGTCTGAGGAGAGACCGAACCCTTAAAGGAGTGCAATGTAGAAGATTAGTGTTTTGTCCATATTYCGGTGCGTGCTTATAACCCAATAACTGTGTACCCAAGTCTTTCATTCCGCCTGAAGAGTAATTTTCATGGCTAATATGGTGTTTTTAGATCAAGAATGTAAAAGGACAGCTTAACCTCACTCCTCCACGAAACATGACGTTGAACATACAGCTAAATAGACTCCACGTAAGTAGATCCCAGTCTCATGTTGTGACCAATGTCCCCAGCTCCCCTGGTCATTTCTGACCATGGAATGACGCAAACCTTGCGGAGACGCCAAAGTCGTTCAAATATAAACTCTTCCACTCTGTCTCACTAAATCGCAGACTCTATTAAGCGGTGCATGTGAATATAATGAGCAATGGTTAAAAGTTTTTGGGTCACGAAAATGTGAACSCCTTCTTGCGACTTCAAGCCAGATACGCGTATTGAACAATAGAAGAAAACGCTCATACTTGTTAACTAAATATACCTTTGGTCTCTTGGAAATTTGTACTGAAACTRCAGAGCCAGTTTTTTAAATTCAACTGCCTTGGTGCGCTGCAAGTCGCCATCTTGATTTTTGTTACCCATAATCCTTTTGCGTCATACTCTCACCAATGATCTGTGACTTCTTTTAAGGTGGAACAAGAGCGTCAGGCCGCCATCGACAAACAAAATCTGGTCATACTTGAAAGGTTAACGGAAATAAAGAAAAATCCTGCACGSGTTGATCACGTGAATAAATCATGGAAACCAAGGTACTGRCAKGGGGAGGGGTAGTCGCTAGTATAATGACTGAAGGGGAAATGCAGATGTCGATAGCTARAATGCGCATTATTGTGGTAGACTGCCGTTTATTCAACTAATGAAGCAATCTTTGTAACCTTTAGCAATGACAGGCTTAAAAAGTTCAGAGAAAGAAGACAACGAAGGATAGAGCTGGAAAACGCGGTAAATTTATTCTAAAAACATTATTAAAGAAACAAAATTTGGTTGATAGAGGACATACAAGTCAAAACTGTAAGAAATTTTGTTAAATATCTATGTACGTGTGCTATCTTTCAGCAATTGGCAGAACGCTTAAAAAACGCCGAGTCTTACTACAACGCGGAGGAATGGGTAAGKCTACATCATATGGCAATGTACATGAAGTATTTTAGGATGCTCCATTTTACAATTCCTTACTCCATTGAAAGGTGGCCAAGCCTTGAAGCTAGAGAACGGTTGACCTTGCAGAATAGATACATCTGCACTGCAATTATTCATAGCCAAATCATGAGCTCATCCGCTATCTAGTTTGCTTTGGTGTCAAAGTTTACCTACCTTTTTCCTGTTTCTCGATGGCATTGGGTGCTGTAAAAAGGAGTATTGGTTGACACTGATCAATACACTGACTTCCATCAGGAAAACTCAATGACGAAATAAATAGTCCCTTACAGACAATGATGACGAATAAATACAATGATATATGAAAATGTATTTGCGTTTTAATAACTTTTTCCAGGAAAGAGATTACAAGAGACATCTATATTACTTATCGTTGATGGAAAACACAACCAAAGATTATGATTCTGTTGAGTATGAGGTACACTATATCAAACCTGATAAACCTTTATAATCTCATCTCTAATGTACTGAAATCAAAACTTAATTTAACATTGAAATTTTCTAGCTAATCTAAGTCTATTTTCTAAGGATGATGACTTTGAAAATGAGAACAGCGAAGAAGAAGAAGAAGAAGGAGACAATGAAAGTCTTCCACCAGTTCCTCCAGTGAGTACTGTTTTTTGTGTTTGTTTGTTTTTGTTTTGTTTTGTTTTGTTGTTGTTGTTGTTGTTGTTTTTGTTTGAGAAAATATCCATGTAAAATGTTTATTGTTTATCTCAAGGGAACTCCATCACCAACCGAGAGAAACAAACAGAAAAATAGCGATGAGGAAGACAACGTTAGCCTGCCGCCAATAGACGAGAAGGGAAAGAAGAACGAGCAAAATCAGGAAGACAAACAAGATGGTGGAAACTCTGAACACGTGGCGATCATGGATGCAGAGGAACTACACACAGCTATTGAAGGTACTGTAATAGGTACTCAATAGACAACAGGCAAATGTTTTCTCTCAAAAAATAAAAACAACAAACTTCCAAAAAATAGAAACAACTACAACAGCAGCWGCAACAACAATTGCAACAACATGAAACGACACGCACGACAGAAAATTATGACTAAYTGAGTGATCATGTTTTAACGTTAGAAAACGATAAAGATAAGATTTTGGAAATTCTTGGAAGGACTTCAGAGAAAGAACAAATGGAGAAGCTTTGCCATAAGTACAAAGAAATGTACAACAAGGTCGGTATCACGTGACTAACACGTCAAGTAAATTTTTCAACAAATCATTDTTTTGATCTCTTTTGTTTCTTGTTTTAACTTCGTGTTTTATGTTGTGTAAGGATCTCTTGGAMGATTTAGAATCTAAAGTTGATGAAGACGTTAAAGTGGTTTTGGAGGCACTGTTGTCGCCTTCTTCAGGAGCTGCAGAGGAYGCCAAGCGATTGAACGAAGCAGTGAAGGTACTGACAACACAAATACCCCAGGGGAGTAGAAGAGGACATAAAAGAGAAAAAGGAAATAAAAAATGTATAAAATTTGAGCAAACACTGTCACCCATCCATCTTGATTGTTGCATGGGCGATCGCATTTTCACCTATGAGAAAGGTGATTAGACGATCCCTAAGTCATTATGATCCTATTGTGTTATCACTCATATATCGCGAAGTTTTTATATCAGGCAATCAAGGACCGGCTCTGCCATGTGGGATCGAAAAATTCGCATGCTCTTAGTAATTTGCGGTAAAAATGGCTTTAAACTAAAAATGTAACCGTTTGTGTTATCAGGGACTTGGAACAGATGAGGACACTATCATCGAGATCCTTTGCACAAGAAACAACAAGGTTTGGCTTAAACGTTTTGAACAAACTACTGAATAAGCAATGAATTTACTATTAAACTTAACACGGTCATATTCTGACAGGCTGTACTCTGGAATTTACGTTTCGCTGACGAAGCATTATTTGAAGACGTTTGATGCTTTTAGGATTTAAGATGGCACATATCGGAAAACCGCAAAATTTTTATTGCATCTAAATCCATTCGTTCTTTGGTTTTGTTGTTGTTGTCGATATTTAACAATTTACAAAAAATGTTTTTTTCAGCAACTGGCTGCAATAAGAGAAGAATACCAGAAACGTTAGTAAAAAATAAATCAYTATTTAGCTTACAACAGTTTGGATAATTTCAATATTGATTTTAGCCTGTTACATCCGGGAATTTCTGAAATTCCGGATGTAAAGGCTATATTGATTTCAAAACGTAAAAATGTCTCCATTCCATAAGACCAACTTGAGTTTTTATCATAATTTGATTTTTTTGTCAAAGAATTTGAGAAGACTTTGGASGAAGATCTTAAAGGAGACACCAGCGGTGATGTCGAGAAGTTACTCGTAGAATTGAGCAAGGTACAGAACACCACCGCGAGCCTCTAATGGAGCACCTCCTTTGTCTAGTGAGTGGCGAAGCTATTTAACTTTCTCGGCTTTGCTTCTCAGGGCGAAAGAGACGAAGCTGACAAAGTAGACGAGAAGTTGGCCAAAAAAGACGCGGAAACGTTAATTGAGGTGAAGAAAATACTCAAAATGATTCTGATTTTGACTATACTAGACCTGTAAATTTGCAATTTATGTACTACATGGCACAAAGTATAATGAATTTATTAACAATATAAAAATGACTTCGATTCATATTATAACGTTCTATTTCGCGCACCTTTGGTTTCTTGTCACACTTTAGCGTTACGCTCGGCTCCCGCTCAATTAAGGTCTTCGATGCACTAAATGAGCGGGAGTTTTAAATGTACAAAACAAATCCCAAAAATACTATCTAAGTAAGAAGAAAGATGTCGATTCATTTTACAAAAGTTTATTTCGAGCACCTTTGGTTTCTTGTCATACGTAGCGTTACGCTCGGCTTCTGCTCAATTAAGGTCTTTGATGCACTAAATGAGCGGGAGTTTTAAGTGTGCAAAAAAAAAAAAATCAAAATTAAGGAAGACTATTATATTAAATCGATTCATATTATAACTATTGGGTGCACCTTTGGTTTCTTGTCACACTTAGCTTGACCAAATTCGGCTACCGCTCCCAAAATCTTCAATGGACTAAGTAAGCGGTAGTTTTCAAATGTAGAAAAAATCCCCAATCGAAGTAAGGAAATACTATTATGGATTTATTAACAATCTCAAATAGATTTCGATTTTTTGTGAGTAATGATTTCTTTGTAATCACAGGCTGGTATAGGCAATTGGGGGACAGAYGAAGGGGAGTTTATTCGCATCTTCACACAGAGAAGCCTYCCTCAACTCGCAGCCATGTACGAAGAGTACAAGAAGGTTAATTTTTACCCATTATACTATTTTGATGTTTAATATGGTATTGATTTTATCAATCGATTATGAAATTATTGATTCTGTTTTAAAGTTGGCTGAAATGGACATCGCTGAATCGATTGATAAAGAGATGGATGGTGACTTGCAGAAAACATTCCTGGCAATAGGTAACACACCTTTCAAATAATTTATTGAGATCCAAGTTCATGTGATTTATCTTAATTTTCATGTCTATCAGTCAAGCATTCCCGAGATCCTTCAGGAGCACAATCTGACAAGTTGACCAAGTCGATTGAAGAAGGCGACACTGCAGCGGTAGCCAAGATCATTCTACCGATGAATAAGGTAAAAGGCAAAAGCAATCGGAGGACGATCGGAGAACAATCGGAAAACGAATGCACGGCGACTCACCTAGCTTCGTTTTCACGGATGATCAGCACACAATAAAAACTGAAAACAAGCTTAAAACAGTCAACTTGTAATAATTTATGTCGTTTCACATTAGGAACAATTGTCTGATACCTGTTCATCGTACAAAAAGAACAACAAGAGAGAACTTGTTGATGACATCGAGAAAAAATGTAAAGGGGACCTTCAACAGATACTTCTATCTAAACTAGGAAAAGGTCAGTACAGTGTTAGTGCAAAAAATTACATTCTTTGTACATTCTTCTTTGCATTTACATTACAATAATATGATAAATTAAATGAAAGAATATATCACATGCTTTCGAGGTTAAGGCTGCACAAATAAGATCTCAGTCGAAACTGGAGTATTATCACATAACTGGTTGGGCTGCCTGTGAAAGATAACATACATAAGTTATCTTTCCAAGTTCTTATTCACGTATTATTATTTTTGTTTCAGAGGGAGGAAAGAAAAAAGATAAAGTAAGCATRCTTGAATTTCTGTATTTCGTTCATCTTGTTGTACTAAAATATCATGATGTCCATGTACACAATTCTGACATATGCAATTCTTCTTCACAGGACAACAAAGAAAAGACGCAGAAAAACGCAGAGAAACTGCCTGCAGTTGGTAAAAGGAACCATAAGAAAAAGAAAGAAGAAGAGAGAAAAGGTAAAAGAAACGAGGCAATTGCAGCGGGAACTGAAGATCACAATCTGAGCCCAAGCGACTCTAAACCTTAATCTTTTGACCTACTTTGTCTTAAAAATAGTTTGAATGATTTGAAGATTA